CTGTGTACTCAGTGATGTAGACCCATATGCCAATTCAAATACTGTAGATTTTATTTTTTAATTTTTTTTTAAGATTTATTTATTTATTTATACAAGCACTGGGTACAGTCAGAAGCTCGGGAGGGTAAGAGAATTCACCAGAGCCAGAGCAGGGAGCAGAACAGGCAGAGGGAGCAGCGGGTGGCAGGAGAGGTCCACGCGCCATGTGGGATCATAGTCCGGCAGCCAGGGATTGAACAGCTGCTGCAGAGGCCGCGCGCAACCTCGCAACCCAGCGCTCAACCGCTGCACCACCAGGGGAGGCCCTCAAATACTGTAGATTTTAATGTAGTGTTTACACATGTTGATTTATAATGCTGCATACTTGACACATAGCATAATGCAATGATACTTCAATAAAAAATAAAATAAAAATTTACCCAGTTGTGTTAAATCTGTCTCCATTAGCAAATTTTAACCTCACTCATTCTTAGTATGCCTTAAGGTTTTCTCAAATGGGAAAATGTTAAAAACCCTTGGGACAAATGGGGAGGTATTTCATTAGAGTCCTCTCAAAGCAGAAGATGTAATGATTGGAGGGGAATCAGAGAATCTTAAGGAGGGGTTACTCCCACGCCCCCAGTAACTCAGAACATGGTCTGCTGGAATGTGGAGACTGATGATTTCCTCAGCTCTGTTGAAAAATTGTGTGAATTGTGAATTCAGGTTTCCTACTCACCCAGGTTTCCAGGAATCACTTGACAGGAACTGATATCTCTCAGCTAAATCTAATATCTCACATGAGAGTCCCATGATGTTAACCAAGGACATGTAGTAGTTCAGGGACTCACAGGGAGAGGAGGAATTCTTGTCACACTCTCTCAGCTACCCATTCCCTCCAGTTCAGTCACATAAAGTACATAAAAAATACATCTATTAATATCTCTCCTTCAACAGCTATCTGGGTACAGGGGAAAGTTCCCTCACCACCGTGAGTTTTTCTGAGACTGGATGCATAAATGAACATCAGACAAATTAGTATGAGAAAAATACCAAATTTAATAGCATGTATAGAGAGAATTATACAGCAGGAAATTCTAAAGTAAATGGAACACAGCAGGGCTTATATCCTATAATAATGGACTTGAGTCACCAGGGAGAGAGTAAAGGGTTTCACATCATGAGGAAATGACTTCATATGACAGAACATTCATTGCCTTTTAACTGTTTGCCCTTCCTTAAGATAGGTTTCTCCTATTAAAAAAAAATATTTCTGCAGATATCCCTATACTTAGGAAACCTTAAATCTTCGAGTAATGGTAACATTTATAGAGGCATTATTGCACTGGGTACAGTCAGAAGCGCGGGAGGGTGAGAGAATTCACCAGAGCCAGAGCGGGGAGCAGAGCAGGCAGAAGGACCAAAGTACACTGCTGAGGGGAGCAGCGGGCGGCAGAGAGGTCTGCGCGCCTGTGGGACCCTCCTCCGGTGGCCGGGGGAGCCGGGGATTGCGGGCAGCTTTCTCATATGTTTCTCTCCACAGGTGTGACAGGTATTGAAATGCCTACCCTGGATATCTAGGAAATCCTATCTAACTTTTGGGGGTAGGGGGTAACATAACTACAGCACCATGCTCTCTATCTTCAGTATGAACATGGGGGTGGAATCCGTTCAGAACATCATCCACTGGCTTAAGAGTTTGCTCCTTCCTGTTCTTCTGCCTCTGGCCTACACCCCAGTTCTTGTATGCATAAATAAATACAAATAAATCTTAAAAAATAGAAATTATATATTCTATTTCAATGAAAAGCAAAACTAGTAATATTTAAAGTGGATTAATATTCATTCTTAATATTCATGATTTCAACCCAGAGAGAAAATTAGTAGATACTAATCTGGATCAGTGCTCATGTTCTAGGAAATGAGAAATCACAGAATTTTATCATTTAATTGCTGCAAATTTCTATCAGTTCAGCCTCAGTCTTGCTATTTCTAATGAGAAACTGAGTCCAATTAAAGCTAGTTTAAAAAGGACTAGTAAGAAGCATTATCACCCTGATAATGAAATTCTGTCTGATTTCAAAGCCTAGGTTTTTAACCATTCAGAGTGGTCACTCTCTACATCATTTCACCTGCAAGAGCAGCCTGGTCATGACAGAGCTCACCCTGGCTCTAGCCATTACAATGACTGCCCGTGTTCGTTGATAGGTAACTAGACTGAGCATACACCTCTACCTCCTGGCACCTGAGGTTTCCCATGGTGTGCCCAGCTTCTTCAACAGATGAGCACCTTCTGGCTTTGCCCTCCTCAACCAACATCCTAGGGAAAATGGCTCTTGAAAGGTCAATGCAGGAGGTGGGAACGCAAAAGGCCACCAGGAAGGCTACCTGGGGGCAGGAATGCAGAAGCCTGCCTAGAAAATTCAGACAATGAACCCCTCTCCATTGTGCTAGAATCTTTTCCCACCTTGCAAACCCAGTCTCCCACCTGACCTTGCCTCCCCCTGCCTCCCCCTGGCAAGGTAAGCGACTTCACCCACCCCCACCTTGGGTCCTTGAATTCCGCCCAGGGTGCAATAAATTTTGCCTACCTTTAAGAAAGCTTGGCCTACCTCTTCTTTTCTTTGCCGCGCAGAATCTTTCAGCTCCTACGTTTTCTTTAGGGACATACTCAAATACAGAGTCAGTTCTAATACTGCCTCTTCCACTCATTAGCCATGGGAGGCTGAGCACTGACTCCTACTGAGTCCCAGGGCAAGTTAGGGTTAAGTATGCAGCCTCAGGCAGGGTGCAAGCAGGGACTTCGGAGACTTAAGGGAGGCCCCTGAGACAAGGCAGAGAAATTCAGGAGGCAAGTGCTGGCAGTAAAAGTAAATTTTAGGAGACCTTGGACAGGGAGGTAAACTACTAAGATAGGAGCTGGGAAAATGGGCACCTCTGCCCAGAGGAGTATAGCCCCTAGGAGGAAGAGCCAATCACAAAACAGGACGATGAGATTTAAGTGGGGGGGATGGAGGAGAGGTTTAATTATCCCTAGACAGGCCTTCATTGCCCCTCCCAAGTACAGCATACTGGGAAGTTCTTGCTTCCTTCCTTCAAATAACCTTGTCCTTACTTTCTTAAGGTTTGTTTCTGATTACTCATCTAAAATGTCTGTGAATTCCTTTTTTAAAGTTTTGTGGGACAAGAACCTGTGGTGGCTCAAGGGCTAAAGTCACAACGCACAGAAGCATCAATAAGTTTATCTATTCTTTCAGCTATCTGTTAGTAATTCCTTCTTCATAGGATGTTTTTGAAGATTGACTGGAATAAAGAAACTCTGTGTATAATTATACCTATGTGTGTACATACAACATACACACACATAGGTACACATTTGCGTGTGTGTGTAAGTGTGTGACTATCCCATTCCCAGCCCAATCACTTTCTTTTTCATCTTTCTGGAGCAAGTTATTACCCCTCTGTGTATTGCTGTGTGCTCTGTGCAATAACCTGCCCTAGTTTACAATGCATATTGTCTAAGAAAAGTGTGTGTTTTTGCTATCTGGTAAATCTATTATTTTTGCTGATTTTGAGGCTGATTAGAAAAGCTCTTGGGGTGATATGTATGGTGGGACACTAAGTGTTTCATCACAGGCAAAAGTCTACCAAAAAGTTGTTCTTTTTGAGAATAGTTGTTCCTAGACATGACCCCCTTTGTTGTGCAGATTTTGGAAACTGGTCCTTTTGCAGTTTCCCATTTCCAACAAAGGACTTCAAAAACTTCTCAGTATGTTTGTTTTCTCTATATTCCACATATAAGTGAAATCATTCATTATTTCACATAGAAGATTGTGGCAGCAGAACTGAGGCTACTAGCGGGGGAGGGAAAAAGGGGGCAGGCACAAAGGGAGAAGGGCACATGGCCCCAGGGAAGGGATGTGGTGTCTGGATGGGGGCTGGTGACATACCTCTGAGATGTGAACCTATTTCCCTAATCAGGTAGCAGGTTGTAAACCAGTGTTACCTCAATAAAGGAAAAAAGAAGCCTGAGTATGAAAAGTTACATGAAACAAGGTTGGAACTGGAGTGATCTTGACAGCAGTTTGGGTGCTTGAAAAATGAGACTTTAATAGAATCAGTTGTTCCAAATGTGCACTTTGTGTTACACAGGACATGGAGACAGTTTAACGTTTTCAGTAATCATGAGAGCAAATATCTACTATATTGTTCGGGACACTGACATGCTATTTACTTTGCACAATTATCTCAAAAGTTAGACTCAATTTAGGGCTTCCCTGGTGGCCTAGGGATTAGTCTCAAGACTATCACCGCTATGACTAAGTTTGCCATCATCGGCCAGGGAGCTGACCTACATGGCGCAGCAGACCTCTCCTGTCTTACCTGCTGCTCTGAAATACAACAGTTCATCTCATAATCTACCTGTTCTGCTCCCAACTTTATCTCTGGTGAATCCTCTCACCCCCCTCATCTCTGGCCTATACCCCAGTTCTTTTATGCAAAAATAAAATAAATAAATAAAAATAACTTGGGAGCAGTTTAAAATCCAGTTTGTGTCCTAAAAAGAAACTCAGAATGTATACATAGTGTCTACTTTGTAAAAGATGAAACAGATTTAAACTCAAACAATAAGTATGCAGAATTTTTCTCAGTGTATATCTGTCTAAATATATATAGAGAGACACACACACATAGACAGACATATATATATATATATATATACACACACACACACATACACTCAGTAAAAATTCTACACATATATACAATTATATATATAATGTGTGTATATATAAATATATATAATATTATAAATAATTTCCTTGATTTTCTGTTGACCGTGGCATATCCTGGGAATCAGACAGGCATACACACACACACAGGAACTCATTAGTCATGAGTGGAGAGGGACTATGGGCTGTCTTAGATAACATGGATGGTGGCAAACAGGCTTTGCCCTGTCTCTTCAAATGAGTTAGAAAGAAAAACCTGGAGAACTGGGGTAGGGAACGAGAAGGTTCAGAAGCTTGGTGGGCACAAGGTCATGGGAGCTGGACAGTCCCAGGGATTGAAATATGGATACGCAGCCTGAGAAAAGCAACATTTAGAGAACTTGTAGATGAGTGACCCATGATTTGTGACATTGAAAAACGAGACAATGCCTGCCTCATAGTCTAGGAACACCCCAATGTGACGAGGATGAACAGGTACAGAAAGAGTCAAGACCTTGGGGTCAGAGGTGGCAGAGTCCTCAAAAGCACTGTACTCACACTGGTTCTGTAACCCTATCACCCAGTAGCCAAATCGAGGTCTGTATCTGAAGTAAACACTTGGATGATTTGTGTTTTGTCTAACACCAAACTTGACATCATGGGCGCGTGTCCCAGAGTACACCCCCAGGAGCCAAGCAGTCTTCTTGGACACATCTACTTCCCAATAATATTTCCCTGAGAAGAAGTATTGGGAGCTCACGATACCATAATTATGATGCTTCATAGGCCAAATTGGCACAGGTATCACTTGTCTCTGATCTTCTGAAAGGTCAAGATTCAAATTCAGATTCACTGGATTCAGTGTAATGTCCACTGCAGGGAAAAAAAAAAAGTATAAGATCAGGTGGCAGATAAGGGGTAGGTTTATCTGTTCATATTGTGAAGAAAGAATTGAGAAGTGACTAAAAATAAACTTGGACTGGGGGAGGGGATAAAAGTTGGACCAGGGAAGGGGACAAACTGTTGCTCATAGATGTAGATGTCTATACACGTATTGTCTATACACATGTTGTCTATACACACAATACTGAGAAAAAGAAAGGTGGGGAGGGAGGAAAGAGTGGGAGGAGGCAGAATATATGGGATGAAAATCATGAGATTTAATCAAAACCACAAACTTCTGTAGGGGATGGGAACACAGTGATTTGAAGTTCCAGTAACTTCTTACCCCAGTAGCACTGGACATGTGTTAGCTCTGAAATGAAGGAAGATTTAAAAATACTGATTAGAAGCAAATAAGAAAGCACAGACAGATACCTTTCTTTCTCTGAGGAGGTGCAGGGGAGAGGGTTTACCAGGAGATTATCTAGAACAGGTGAATGAGAGCTGACCCAAACACCCAGTCATTCTCCCTTAGACAAAATGACATCTTCAATAGCATCTCTTTGTCTCTGAACAGCCTCCCCCTTTTATCCTGACCATGAAACTATGCCAGACACCCAGCTGTGTGTCTGCCATAAGAAGCCTGCATCTGGGGCATCCCTGGCGGTGCAAGGGGTTAAGTCTCAGCACTATGACGCTATCTGTAACTACTGCAGCATGAGTTGGATCCTTAGCCAGAGAGGTGACCCACATGGCATAGCAGACCTCTCCTGGTCTCACCCGCTGCTCCCCTTAGCAGTGTATTTCAATCAATCTGCCTGTTCTGTTCCCCACTCTGTCTCTGGTGAATCCTCTCACCTCTGCACCTTTGGCCTGTACCCCAGTTCTTGTATGCATAAATAAATAAACCTTAAAAAAAAAAAACAAAAACCCTGCCCACATCCACACTCTTGCCTGGGCCCTGCTCACCTCTAAACATTTCCAACATCCCACTCAGATCTGGAGCACGGAATACACTCTTCAGTTTCTTGGAAACAGTTTTTGGCTTCTTTAGTGTCCAGATCTCACTCCTAGTAATGACAAAAAACTCGATCCCACATCTCTTATCTTGTTTCCCTCCAATATCACTGCCTTCTTTTCCTTCCACATCACTGATGCCTTGAGAAGCCTGAGGAGGGGGGAAGGGAGATGCCTGACCCTGGGGTCCTAGGGAGTGAGCTCCTGTCCACCTTTTCACTTACCCTCTGTGTGACCCTGCACAGGTCATCAACTCTAAGAAGCAGTTTCTTCCTCTAAAGATGGAATAATTAGAGGGATTGGAGGGAGGAGCACAGGGGACTGAGGTGATGGTGCACAGGAGCATTGGTGAAGGAAAGTCTATGGGGACTACACCTGGGGGGTGGGGAAGCAAATATTGTTTAAAAATGAACAATGATGTAAAATATAAATAATTAAAAAATATGTAAAAATATATTTCTCCCTCTTGTTCTGTTAAAAAAATATATATAATAATGGAGTAATTTACTCTTCCCTTGATAATTCATGAAAACAATACAAAATTATATAAAATAACGTGAAGGAAAAAGATTTGTTACCTTTAAATAAAAGGTGTTAAGATATAGAAAAATCACTGCATCACAGTGACTCTCCCAAGGAGGGGCAGGAGGGTGAGAGACATGTATTCCCAGGCACATTAGCAGTAAGGCTGTGCATCCTTGCTGCAATGTGGGTCTCTCTTCTGGAGAGCTGATTAATTTATACCTTAGCTGAAGCCTGAACCCCCTTGGGGTGGCTCACAAAAAACATTTGCGTTCTCAGGTTCTCTGAGAAAGGTGTTATGAACACCAAACTGCAAGAAATTTGATTCTGCCAGGTGGGTTGGTGACTTTAGACCACAAGGACGACACTTTCCCACATGAGCTGCAAAAGTGTGTCCACAGGAGGAGAATCAGTATCGATATCAGGGTCAGTCATTAACTCCAAGGCTGTAGATCTTTAATGTTTGAGGCCATCCAAGGAGAATCTTGTAGAATGACCTGGTCTTTCTATTTCCAGGTGAGTAGAGTAGATGTAAAGGAGTTGCCTGCTCTATTTTAGGGCTTGACAAGTCTGCCCGTGTGACAAGTCAAGCACCTACAAAATACAGGAACCAGAGTAAGGACAGAAGATACAATAAATGACTGAAGTCACGGGAGTCTGAAAGCAAAATCCCTTGTCTCTATTATCCTTACTAGCCTAACTCTGGGGCTCTACCCACGAAATTCACTGCCATGCAATCTGGTCCATTCTCAATAGATAAGGAACACTTAAATCTTCAGTTAAGATCACCAATTCAAAATAATATTACATGAGAATTTCTCTACTCTGGAGAATTTTTCTCTCTGATTTATCACCAGATATCTCTCATGGCCACAAACCTTTCTTCATAACACAAAGCACTGCTCCTGGACACTTATACTCACCATTTCATGATTCCACTCATGTCCTAGGAGAAAAAAGAAAACATGAGTCAAAGAGCGTAGAGTACAGCAGGGTCAATAAAAGAAAGAATGGAAAAAAATAGAGAAAATCCAAGAAACCAAAAGTGAATGATTTGAAAATATCAACAAATGAACAACCCCTTAGTTAGATACATGAAGAAAAAATGAGAAGGGAGGCAAATTACTACAATCAGGAATGAAAGAGTAGGTGTAACATTGACCTAAAACATGGAGAGACTGAAATGGAAAATAGAAACTCTGGCAAGGAAATGTCCAGGCCCACATGACTTCACTGGTTAAAGGTTTAAAGAAGAAATACTATAATACAAACACTTTATAAATTCTTCCTCTCACATTAGAAAAGGATGGAATATTTCCTGATTAATTCTATGGGGCCACGACTACTCTGGCACTAAAATCAGACATCACAAGAAGAGTAATCTACAGACCAATATCCATTATGGATAAAGATGGAATCTTTGACAAGACACTAGAAAATCAAATCTGGCAAAGCAGAAAAGATTATACAATCTGGCCCAGTGGGATTTTCCCCAGAAACTCAGGATTGATTTAACATACGAAAACAGTCAATATAATACATCATATTAACAGAATAAAAGATTTAAAAACACATAATAATTTAAATAGGCAAACAAAAATATCTGACAAAATTCAACATCCTTTTGTGATTAAAAACAAAATAGGAATAGAAGGGTGCTTCCTAAGCCTAATAAAAGGTATCTATGAAAAACCTACAGATAATAGCATACTTAATGGTGATAAATCAAATAATTTTTTCTTAAAATCAAGAACTAGACACAAGTCTCTCTCTACTTCCACTCAACATAGAACTGGACATTCTAGTCAAGACAACTAGGCAAGGAAAAGGAATAAAAATCATCTATGTTGAAAAAGAAGAGGTAAAACTATCTCTACTTGCAGAATACATGACCGCACATATAGAAAAGGTCTGCTTTACACAGAGCCTACAGGAAGCCTCTGCTCTTCTGATTTTAGCTCCCAAGTGGGTTCTATAAATCTAAACATCTATCATTGTCTATTGTCTCAATCATGTGTCCATATATGATAGTATTTCCCACAATGAGGAAGATACAGGACACCAACAACTTAGAATATCTAAAATGTAACCAAATAGCCACCAACAATATTGGTTCCTCTCTTATATCTACTTGTCAAAAATGGTACTGCTATTTATTCATTCTCTGTCCCAAACACTAAGACATAATACCAAGCCAGGCCACTCCACACCTTTAACTTCTTTTTTGCCATCTGCATTTGCCATTCTTTTTCTGCCATAATGCAATCACCATTATGGATTCCTTTGCTTTTTACAATATGCACCAATATATGCGGTCTTACAATTAAAGCTACTGACCAGCTATAAGCCAAAGGAGTGTTTTTTACTTTTTATATTAGTATCATTCGGTTGTGCATGAAAGAGAAGTCAACTAAAATCACCGTAATGGAAGAAGAAAAAACATGGCTTATGGCCAAAAGACATCATGTCTGTCACCCATGGATATTTTTTAATTATCCTATGACATCTCAAACGGATGGCACAGAAGGGCTTCCAGGAAGCTCACACCACCAGGACACAGGAGAGAAGGTAACAGACTATGCCCCAAGAGTGTGAGAATGGAGCATCCTACTTACCTGCAGCAACTCCTTCTCTGACCATTCTCTGCGACGCTCCAGATCTGAGATGAGCTCTTTCAGCAGCTGGCTCTGCTGCGCCAGCTCAGCCTCAGCCTCAGCTAAGTTATCCAATGTCTTCTTCTCCTCTTCCTCCAATTTTTGCAGCTCTCTTTGTTCCTCACAGTCCAGGATGCTCCTAAGCTGATTAAATTCTGTGTGTATCCTTTGTCTCTCCATCTGTATCTGATACTGCAAGATTGGACAAGAGAGAGGTGATGAGCCTGTCAGACAGAGTCTACTGAACAAAGAATTAGGAGGCTGGAAAAGGAGTATTTTTCCCAGGAATTCTAGCTAGTAGGGGAGTAGAAGCAAGGGGGTAACTTTTGGGAAAAGCTGCTTTTTATTCTACTATTTTCCCTTCATATCAAAACAGGCCTCAGACTATTTTATTTAGGCAAACTCAGGGAAAAAGGTAAAGCCTGAGAGGTTTCAGCTGTAGACAAGTATCCTCCTATAATACCACTTTTCCAAGTTTGAACTTCGAGGAAAAATTTGGTGCTTTGTCCATTGTTTTCCACTGGAGGTGTCAGAGCCTCATGGGAAAAGAATGGATAACAGAATTCTCTAATCTTCCTCACCATCACGGCATGTGTGTGTGTGTGTGTTTGTGTGTGTGTTCAATTCCAAATATCTGCATGTAGTTGTAGCATATTTGCTCGCTCACCCATACCCAACAGGAAAAAGAAAAGAGCCATGAATGGCTGCCGGACTCATTCGGTGCCAGGGAACAAAAAGGAAGGGGTTCTTTATGACTGGGACCAAAGATTCTGTCAAAATTCTTGCCTCAGAAATCCCTCAGGGATCTGTCTCCTCCTACCTTCCAGGAAATTTTCTCTTCTCTGATGTCAACTTCCAGTTTCTCAGCAACCTGCTGCTCCTTCCTTAGCCTCTTCAGAGCTGCCTGGAGTTTCTCCTGTGAGAGAAGAATCACACAAGAGTCAACACCCAGATAGAGAATAAATGGGGAAGAAGTCAGATTGATCTCAAAGAGACCAGTTTATGGGAACAGATTAGAAATTGGTAACTAGAATCTATGACCTGGGAGGAAATCTGAGGAGGTGAATGTAATGGTCATTCCTGGGTGATGGAAGTCACCAACCCCTCACCAAGAGTAACCTGATTCTCTCTTCCCCAGAATAAGTATCAACTCTACCACAGCAAGGGAAGTTCTCTTCTTTTATTTACACTATTTCCACATCCAATGCACAGTGTTCAACAACAATCATTCTGTGGAGAGGAGCAATGAAGCTAACATTGGGAAGGACTTCCCCAACCCATACAACAAAAGGGAAAAAAGGAAAACCTCTTGTTCTTGACCAGGAGTTTGTGTTTTAGGCTTAACCTTTTCATAAACACAAGGAATGCATTAAAAAGCCCTTCAGGCGTTACAAGCTGAGAGAGGGAAGGAAGCACACATGAAGGCTATTACAAGGCTTGGGACCACGAGGCCAGGGTGTATAAAGAAGCACAGAGAGATGAGATTTCCCATGGAGCACCACCTCTGTCTTGTCTGCCCCCACCCTGGGTCCTACCTGACATTCCTTGACTACCTCTTCCATAAAGAAAGTGTGGTGGCCACGATGATCTTTAGACCGCTCACAAAGCCAACAAATGACCTTCCTATCTTCCTTGCAGAAAAACAGCAATTTCTCTCCATGGCGCTCACAGAGATCGCTCTTCAGCTCTTCCTTGCTCAGGCTCAACTTGAGTTCTCTGAAATGCTCCACTATGTTGCCCAGATGCTGATTTGGCCGCAGGTCTCCAAAGGAGTATTTGACACCACACACAGGACAGCTGCTCTCCCCTCCTGGGTTCATCTTTGCCTCCTTGTTTCCAGTGATGCAGGTTTGGCAGAAGCTATGGCCACAACTCAAACTCAGAGGTTTTGTCAAAAGCTCCAGGCAGATGGAACAGTTCCCCTCCTCCTGTAACTTCACCAGCATTTTTAAAGACATCACACGTCTCCTCTGAATCCTTCCTGTCCTGACTCCTGATGTTCTTCTTGTTTATAAAGATTCCTGGACAGCTGGGCAGACTGAAAGAGGATGGTATAAGAACAGCATGAATAAATTTATGTTGTCCTATGTGTTGGATCTTCTTGTTGATCTTGGGGAGACAATCAAGAGCTGTGCAGAAATGGAACTTAACCAGGAGAAAAGTATGGACTCGCAGGCAGTCACAGCAACTTTTGGAAGGGGGAGTACAGGACAGAAGGGGTACCAGACAGAATGAATATAAGTTACATCTCAATCAAAGAGCAAATTGTTCACAAGTGACCTTAAAGTAGGGCCTAGTCAGTGTCAACTGATGGAGCTTACTTTTATTTTATTTATTTTTTAAGATTTATATATTAATGCATACAAGAACCGGGGCACAGGCCAGAGGTATGGGGTGTGAGTGGATTCAGCAGAGACTGAGTGGGGAGCAGAACAGACTGAGGGGAGCAGTGGGCGAGACAGGAGAGGTCTACTATGCACATGGTTAGCCAGAGGTTAGCTTCCTGGCTGGGGATCAACTCATGCTACTGTGGCTGCGGTTTCATAGTACTGAGACTTAACTCCTGCGCCTCCAGGGAGGCCCTGGAGCTTAGTTCTTAGCAAAACCACTGAATCTGTGGGCTTTTCCTGAGCAATAATCAACTCCTGTTAATTAACTCTGAACAAAGAAAAATAGTGAGGAAGTGAGGTAACAATGCAAAGGTGTGTGTAAGAGGAAAAGTGATGAAAGAGTTCAAGGACAGATGAGGTCACCAGCATGAATGCGCTTCTGAACAAGCAGGCCTATCCAGGAAAGTGCAAATAGATTCCTGGGATGGGTGCTCTGAATCTGGATGACACAGGATAAAGGCGGGCACAGAGTCAGGCAGTAGGTCTGTTACCCAAGCTCTGTCCTCCAGCAGGCTTACAGCTGGGGATGTCAGGAAGGGAACTGAAAGCTCTGGGTGGTTGCCAGATGGGGAGGGATTCAGCTTTAATATTTATCTCTGATCTTTCTTCTGAAGAGGTGGAGGTTGAGAAGACTCGTGTGTGTGTGTGTGTGTGTGTGTGTGTGTGTGTGTGTGTGTGTGTGTGTTGGGGGGGCGGGAAGCATTCCAAGCTTTCCATCCCCCTCAACTAAATAGATAAAAACTATAAAATAGGAAGGGAATGGGGATAGCCTGTAGGAAACAGAGCACGCCCCTTCTTGGACACTTTTCTTTCAAGGTTTTCTCCAGACTCAAGGTTGCCATCTGTCTGCACTTAAAGTGGGAAACCTGCAAGCTGGCTTTCCTGCTGGTCAGAGCTAGTATGGGCCAGAAACAAAACTCACCTAATTTCTATTTTTTAAAAGATTTATTTATTTATGCATACAAGAGCTGGGGTACAGGCCAGAGGTGTGGGGGGGGGAGAGGATTCACCAGAGACAGAGTGGGGAGCAGAACAGGCAGATTAACTAAAGTACACTGCTGAGGGGAGCAGCGGGTGAGTCAGGAGAGGTCTGCTGCACCATGTGGGTTGCTCCCTGGGTGGCCTGGGATTGAAGTCATGCTGCAGCAGCCAAAGACAGCTTCATATGTTGCGTCTTAACCCCTTGCGCCATCAGGGAGGCCCAAATTTCTATTTTTTTTAAAGATTTATTTATTTATGCATACAAGAACTGGGGTACAGGCCAGAGGTGTGGGGGGTGAGAGGATTTACCAGAACAGGCAGATCAACTGAAATACACTGCTGAAGGTGTTACAGGGCAGAGACGGGGCACCCCGGAGACCCCAAACCTGCCTGCTCTATATAGGTTCTGCCATCTGCTGCATCAACACAAAACATGTAAGACTTTAATGGGAAGGAACTTTAATACAATTAGTAAACAATACAGAAAAGAATATAGTTTTCAAATCAAGCACCCACAGTTACCCATCCCCTGGTAAGTAAAAGTCCACCCAAACAGGATTGGCCCAGAGCAAGGCCCAAAAGTTGTCACAGTTGAAAGCACCTTCCAGTGGGGACCCGCAAGGGTCAGAAACAACAGACAAGTTTGGGAGGAAAAGAGCAAAATCAAAACCAAGATAAAAGCTGCCATTGTCACCTCTCCACGGGTCTCTCACCCGCATCTGTGTCACCCAGTCCACGACCAAAAGGCAAGTGCAGTTTTGTCACGTGTCTCTTGGCTCCATGCGCTTCCTCCAGGTCTCCTTCTGGCTCTTCATCCTGCTTCCTTCCTTCTCAGTCTCCTCTGCAGCTTCTTCTCCTTTTAGTGCCACCCTCCTTTGGGTGGGGCAGGAAACCTGGAACTTTCCCTCTCTGGCGAGACCAACTTTGGTCTTAAAGCCTACATGGACCTGATGTCAAGAGTTCGATCTGATCCTATATGGAGTATTCCAACAAAGCCAGCTAAAACTGCTATTTGGTTATTTTGCCCTATGATTTTATGCAAAAATAGGTTAAATGGCTTAAAAGTAGATTTAGTTTGCAAATTTTTGCTATGCTGATTGAAAAAATTGGGATCAAGGTGGAGAGAACTTGTTTTCAGATAAGTTGAACCAATTTTAAGATTTTTTTCCCCTGTGATTTTGATATATTTGCTATCTTGTTTTGGCTAATGCCTCCAGATTTATTTCTTTTGGCTTGGACCGATGGACTTTCCAGTAATGGAGGACCATCACACTGGCTATTCATGGACAATGCTGCTGACTAATTGTTGCTTCTCTTACATACATTGAAACAAACAAACAAAAGACTGTCTCCTAAGACTGCACCCTGAAATCTGTGCCACCAAGATATGGTGGAATAAAAATTAAAAGGGGGGATTGCAACGGGGTGGTCCTCAGGAAAAGAGGAAATTCCAGGTTCCCTGCCCCACCGGCGGGTGGAGCTAAAGAGAAGCTGCAGAGGAGACTGAGGAAGGAAGGAGCAGGAGGGAGAGCCAGAAGGAGCCCTGGAGGAGGCGCATGGAGCAGAGAAACACATGAAGAAACTGCACTTGCCTTTTGGTCGTAGACTGGTTAAAACAGACATGGGTGAGAGACCCGTGGGGAGGTGACAATGACAGCTTTCATCTTGATTTTGCTCTTATCCTCTCGGACTTGTCTGGTCGTTTCTGATCCTTTTCTATGGGTCCCCACTGACAGATGCTTTTTTCTTGTGGCAGGCTTTCAGGCCTTGTTCTGGGCCAATCCCGTTGGGGTGGAGTACTTTTACCCATGAGGGGATGGGTAACTTTGGGTGCTGGATCTAGAAACTATATTCTTTGTCTTTTCTGTATTGTTCACTAATTGTATTAAAGTTCCGTTTCATTAAAGTCTCAAATGTTTTGTGTTGATGCAGCAGATGGCAGAACCTATTTAGAGCAGGCAGGTTTGTGGGGTCTGGGGTGCCCCTCTCCCTGCCCTGTAACAAGGGAAGCAGTGGGAGAGTCAGTAGAGGTCTGCTGTGCCATGTGGGTAGCTCCCTGGGTGGGGACTGAACTGTTCTGCAGTGGCTGCAGATTGCTTCACAGTTGTGTCTTAAGCCCTTGCACCACCAGGGAGGCCCCTCACCTACTTTCATTGGTACTTTTCTCCCAGAGTCTGCCACCCTCTGCCCTGCCCCATAAAACTCCCCCACTTTCAGTTTCCAGCATGAACTGGGGTACAGGCCAGAGATGTGGGGGGTGAGAGGAGTCACATGAGACAGAGTGGGGAGCAAAACAGGCAGACTGACTGAAATAGAGCCAGTCTGCTGAGGGGAGCAGCGAGCGAGGCAGGAGAGGTCTGCTGCGCCATGTCAGTAGCTCCCTGGGTGGGGGCTGAACTGTGCTGCAGAGGCTGCAGACAGCTGCACAGGCTGCGTCTTAACCCCTTGCGCCACCAGGGAGGCCCCTCACCTTATTTCATTGGTACTTTCCTCCCGGAGGCTCCCACCCTCCGCCCCGCCCCACAAACTCCCCCACCTTCAGGATCCAGCGAAGTCTCCACTCCCAGTTTGGTGAAGAGGCCCGGGCGGCGCATGCGCGCTCAGGGTTTCTTCAGGAAGCCAGTTCAGGCTGCGAAATGAAAATGAAACTCGAGGCTTTGGCAGGAAAAGGAAGGCAGAAGGCGCTTCTGGGCCACATGGGCGACAGACCTTTAGGACCACTGGAGGCAGTAAATCTTTAGCCCCGTGACACTCTAGGGAAAAAGGGAGGATTCGACCAGGTGAGCTTTTGGCAAAGTCTGCGGGCAGGTTGGGGTGTCGTAATTAGGAGGGGTGCTGCCGCCCCCTCGTGGTAGGGGCCAGGGACACAGCTAATTATCCTATAATGCTAATTACAGCTAATTATCCTACAAGGCTCCCACGTCTAGAATTATCCATCCATAATATTAATAGTCTGAGACTGGGAAACTGTTAAAACCCTTTCTGCTTCTTAGGCTATTTACTGTGTCTCCTACTGTTAGGGGGAAAGGATGTCCTAAAGCTAATTCCATACAGGCTTTGTGGACTCCACCCCCACTCCAGACCAAAGCCAAAGACACTGGGATCTCCAAATCCCATCACCACCAAAGGGAAGGTGGCTGGGACCTGAGGGTGGGGTTAAGCAGTGTAGGGTAAGGAAAAATGTCAGGCTTTTCTGCCCTTCCACCATCAGGATAGATGAGGGAACCCTGTGATCCAGAATGCATGCCTGATGGCGGGCACCTGAAGTGGGTACACCTGGGCTAAGACTGTGCTTTTTAAGTGCGGCGTCACAGGGACGCCAGAAGAAGCCAAAGTAGAAGCCGAAAGAGAAGCCGAGAAGCAGCAGAAGGAACGCCGGAGAGCCCAGATAGAGTGAAGACTTGCTGGGGGCTGGGAGGCCAGCACCCCTGCTGCCATATGCCTGGTGAACCCCAATAAAAGACCTGCAAAAAACCACTGAGGACTCTGACTCCTCCTTTACCCGGTCTGCATGGGATCAGAAAACTTGCACTGTGTCCTGTCCTGCCCTTACAAGCAGCCAGGTTGGTATAAAGCCAGACATGTGGGCTTTGGAGGGGGTCCCCCATTTTGGCTCTCCGCC